AGCCAGAAGGTAGCAGCTCTCCATGCAGTCATGTCAGCCACATGACCTTGGAGGTGTCTATGGACAACGCTGGCTCTTAGGTTTAGACATGAGCGCCAACCCCTAGAGTCTGACACGGCTGGACTTAATGTCAGGGGAAAACCTTTAACTATCAAGGCAGAAAATTCACAATGTCTGCTTTGAACTGGATTATCTGAGTCCACACTGCCATATAACCCAGTTCAGTGTGGATTTTATAAAAGAGGCTTCAGTCTCAGTGGAAAACAAAGGCAAACCTCCTATGTACAAATCTTGTCAAGAAAACCCCATAAGAGATTTGCCATAAGTCAGAAATAGAATCATAGAATCAAAGAGTTGGAAGAGACCTCATGGGCCATCCAGTCCAACCCCCTGCCAAGAAGCAGGAATATTGCATTCAAACCACCCCTGACAGATGGCCATCCAGCCTCTGTTTAAAAGCTTCCAAAGAAGGAACCTCCACCACACTCCGGAGCAGAGAGTTCCACTGCTGAATGGCTCTCACAGTCAGGAAGTTCTTCCTCATGTTCAGATGGAATCTCCTTTCTTGTAGTTTGAGCCAACAACAGTAAAAAAAATTAAGAACCAATGGGAGAATCTTGGTGCTTATCATTTTGTTTGGGACTGAAATTTCACTCTTGAGATTTGCCTTAGAGTTGCTTTAAATTAGAAATGACTTGTATACATGCAACAATATTAAATGCAAAGGGGAGAAATGTTGAAGATTAGGCTAAAACCAGCAAAGGGGAATCAGTGCGGATTGCTTCAGGTAGTGAGTCATGGTGTAGTAAGTGGGTGCAACGTGGGCTGCCTGTGAGCTGCCTGTGGTTGTCGTGGGTGTTGTACTTATGGAAGGAGCCGTGTCCATGTGGGTGGTGTTGAAAAGGCTGAAGCGGGTGGTTTGGGGATGGGGTGCATGACTAGGTGTGAATACGGGGAGGACCAAAGCGGGCGTAACAGGGAAGGTGTTCACCAAGGATGCATCTGCGCTGCTGAATTAATGCATTCTGACACCACTTTAAATGCCAGCGCTCAATGCTATGGAACTGTGGGAGTTGGAGTTTGGTGAGCCATTAGCACTCTTTGGCAGAGAAGGCTGAAAACCTTGTAAGAATATATCTCCCTTGATTCCATGGCAGGTCAAGTGATGTGATGTCAGACTGCATACAGTGTACAGTGTAGATGCACCCTAAGTCATGGGTCCTGTGACTTGTCATTTTTGATGCCTGGTTTTACATTTTTATTGCTATGTTTTAATATATGTATTGGTTGGTTCTGAAAAGGTCCGTTGGTTGTTTTGCTTGCTTGCATGCATGCTGGTTGCTTCTGTGGTGAGAGAATCAGCTGTCTATGAAGATGTTGCCCAGGAGACGCCCAGATGTCTTGCAATCCTGCGAGGAGGCTTCTCTCATGTCTCATGCTCATGTCTCATGCTGGAACACCTCAGCAAGCGAGAGTCCAAAAGTGGCAGGCTCAAAACCAGAACCTCAACCAATGGCTGATACCAAATGAGAGACTCCCCCCTGGGCACACAGAGGACTGAGCGACTTGGAAGGCGCTGAACAGACTGCGCTTTGGCCCCACGAGATACAGAGCCAACCTCCAGAAATGGGGCTACAAAGTGGATCCACGACATGCGAGTGTGGAGAAGAGCAAACCACTGACCACCTGCTGCAATGCAACCTGAGCCCTGCCACATGCACAATGGAGGACCTCCTTGCAGCAACACCAGAAGCGCTCCAAGTGGCCAGCTACTGGTCAAAGGACATTTAATCAACTACCAAACTCACACATTTTGTATTTTGTCTGTTTGCTTTGTTCTGTTAGAAATGTAATATAATTGACTGGTTGCCCTGACACGACAAATAAATATATGTATTGTCAAGGGCTTTCATGGCTGGAATCACTAGGTTCTTGTAGGTTTTTCAGGCTATATGGCCATGTTCTAGAAGCACTTTCTCCTGACGTTTCGCCTGCATCTATGGCAAGTGTCCTCAGAGTTTGTGTAATATATGCTTTTATTGAAAGTATTGTATTATGGTGTTTTATTTTAACTGTGTTGTGCCATAAAGGGAGTCAGTTAATACATTATTATTATTATTATTATTATTATTATTATTATTATTATTTTACTGACACAAAAAATCAGTATGTCACAGCAAACGAGATCTATATGCTGGATTTCATATCACAAAATCACAAAATCACTTCCCAAGCGTCTAGGACTGTGTGATGTATTTTCGAATGATGTCTGCAGATCCAAGTAAGGTGGCCTTTTGCAGTTGACAGATCGTGATTTTGTCAATGTTTATTGTTTCCAAATGCCAGCTGAGATCTTTTGGCATGGCACCCAGTGTGCCGATGACCACTGGGACCACCTGTACTGGTTTATGCCAGAGCCTTTGCAGTTTGATTTTGAGGTCTTGATAAAGGATGAGTTTTTCCTGTTGTTTTTCCTCAATGCGACTGTCACCTGGTATGGCGACATCAATAGTCCAAACTTTTTTCTTTTCCACAATCGTGATGTCTGGCGTATTGTGTTCCAAAACTATGTCAGTTGGATTCGAAAGTCCCACAATATTTTTGAGTGTTCATTTTCCACTATTTTTGCAGGTTTATGATCCCACCAGTTCTTTACTACTGGTCCGTGGTACTTGTGACAGAAGTTCCAGTGAATCATTTGGGCCACAGAGCTGTGCCTCTGTTTGTAGTCTGTCTGTGTGATTTTCTTGCAGCAGCTGAGGATATGATCATGGTTTCATCAGCTTCCTTGCACAGTCTGCATTTTGGGTCATCAGCTGATTTGCCAATCCTAGCCTTAATTGCATTTGTTCTGATGGATATTATTATTATTATTATTATTGCCCCAAGGAGTTTGCAGAAAGACTTAGTCAAGAGTGTTTAGAGCGGCAGGAAATCTGTGGTCTTTGTCTTAAAGCACACTTGTGGTTGCCTTTTTTTGTTTTCCTGACAGAGTGGGTGCGGCCATTTAAAAAGAGTAAGAGGTTAATCAGAGAACTCTTTCATGCGGCTTCCTTTTCCTGCAAGCCATACGATTTGTACACACTTGGTTCTTGCTGAGTATCTTGATGGATGAGAAGACGATTGGTTGGTCATCCACAGATGCTGGATGATGGGACGCACCTAGTTCATTGCTATAGACTTTGGGCCAGGATCCACACTGATCTATAACCCAGTTTCAGAATGCGGATTAGCTGCATTGATCTGGATTATAGGACAATGTAGATCCTTACTTACTTACATACTTAGGCGATCCCTCAATGGACGAGTAAGATGGTCTTCCTTGATGACTATTTTTGTGGGTTTGTAGGTGGCTGTGGAGCCCTATTCTTGACCCGCATCTTCTCCCACAGTGAAGGCATTGGTTTCCAGGTGGAAGGCGGTCCCGGGTTGGCTTGACGTGCCTTCCTCCTGGCACGTTTCTCTCTTTCACCCTCCACTCGTGCCTCCTCAAATTCTGCAGCACTGCTGGTCACAGCTGACCTCCAGCTGGAGCGGTCAAGGGCCAGGGCTTCCCAGTTCTCAGTGTCTATGCCAGAGTTTTTAAGATTGGCTGTGAGCCCATCTTTAAATCTCTTTTCCTGTCCACCAGCATTCCGTTTTCCGTTCTTAAGTTCAGAGTAGAGCAACTGCTTTGGGAGGCGGTGGTCAAGCATCCGAACAATGTGGCCGGGCCAGCAGAGTTGATGGCGGAGGACCATCGCTTGAGTGTTGGTGGTCTTTGCTTCTTCCACGCTGACATTTGTCCGCTTGTCTTCCCAAGATATTTGCAGGATTTTCCAGAGGCAGCGCTGATGGAATCATTCCAGGAGTTGCATGTGACGTCTGTAGACAGTCCACGTCTCACAGGCATAGAGCAGGGTTGGGAGGACAATAGCTTTATAGACAAGCACCTTGGTCTCCCTACGGATGTCCCGGTCCTCAAACACTCTCTGCTTCATTCGGGAAAATGCTGCACTCGCAGAGCTCAGGCGGTGTTGTGGTAGCCATCGACACCGAAATGTAAATCCAGCCTGAGAGGCATTGCTACATAATGTTGTGGTGGATGCCAATTTATTATTTATTTATTTACAGCTTTTATATTCCGCCCTTCTCACCCCACAGGGGACTCAGGGTGGATTACAGTGTACACCTATATGGCAAACATTCAATGCCAATTTTTGACATACAAACATATACAGACTTACACAGAGACTAACCTTTTCTGGCCGCCAGGGGAGCTGTTGCTTTCATCATCCATCTGAGACACTGATTAAGCACTTTCCGCATTCCCCGCATGCTTCCCCGCTGGAATGCTTTGCTGGAGTCTTCTTTATGGCCTCATAAATCAGTTAATTTAGCCTCCCCACACTTTAAGGTGGTACCTTATTTTCCTACTTGACAGATGCAACTGTCTTTCGGGTTGCAAAGGTCGACAACAGGCTACACAATTATTGGTTGGAAACCCACTCCAACCTGGGCTGGCTTCAAACTCATGACCTTTTGGTCAGAGTGATCTTAATGCAGCTGACACTCAGCCAGCTGCGCCACAATCCCGGTGCAATGTAGGGTGCATCTACCAACCTTTTTTTGACCAGGGACCACTTTGAGCAGGGACACCTTGACCAAGGACCCCTCTCCAACATTAGTACCAAAAGGGTTATGAATCAGTTTTTGGTCAACTTTAGATTCGGTTTGGTTATTTGGGGTGCTGATTCAGAAAAGGATCCCATAACAAAACTTTCTCAAACTTTGTTTATGGGAAATCTCTCCTTCCTTTTCCCAAGCTCTACCATTTTCAGATTCTTGTTCTCCAGTTCTTCTAAGTGGTGTCCTATGCCAACCACACCAAGAGACAAAATGTAATGCAATTTTATTCATTTCAGCCCAGTTTTCTAGTTTATCTTTGTCCTTTTGAATTCTGTACCTATCTTCAATGGGACACATCATCTCTTTACAAGCATCTTTTTTTATTTCCATAGTATCTGAAGATCAGATGCTGGCTGTTGATGAATATGACCTCAATGTGGTCCGGCTTTGCTTTCAAGCTTTACTTTGTGACAAACATGGAAACTGCACAATACCTCTTCCTCCAGTCATCTCCAACCCTATTTATGACAACCGTAAGTAATACCTGAGTGAGATTGTGGTGACCTATATCAACATTTCTACTAATGCCTTGGCCATGCTAATTCATCCTAGAGGTTCACACCTAGCTCCAGCAGAGAAGAGCTCTTTGCCCCACCCCAGCCATTCCACAGATATATAAACCCATTGTCCTAATTCCAACAGACCTCACTACCTCTGAGGATGCTTGCCATAGATGCAGGCGAAACGTCAGGAGAAATGCCTCTAGAACATGGCCCTATAGCCCGAAAAAACCCACAAGAACCTAGTGATTCCAGCCATGAAAGCCTTCGACAATACATCCTAGAGGTTGTTCCCAAGCAAATGCTATCTGCAATACCAGTCAAAAGATTCTGTGTGAAGCAAATCCATTCTAATAAGTCAGGTACATAAGGGTGAGAGGAAGGAAGGAAGTAGCAAGGGAGATTGGAAGATGATATCTTGACCAAAATCCTTCATCCACTAAGAACGCTGTTGGGCGAGTGGGCTTATTTACAAAATAACCTGGGGTTCTCTCACTGAAGCTTCTTACACCAGGCCTGCCTCATACTGAGGCCTTCTCACACTGAGGCCTTTCTCCCACTGAGGCCTCCTCATACTGAAGGCTCTCAAACTGATGCCGCTCATACACTGAGGCAAACTAACACTAAGGCCTACTCATACTGAGGCCTACTAACAGAGAGAGGCCCTTCTTCTACAAAGACTTCTCAAAGACTAAAGCGAACTAACATTGAGGCTGTTGTAGGTTTTTTTGGGCTATACGGCCATGTTCTAGAGGCATTCTCTCCTGACGTTTCGCCTGCATCTATGGCAACCATCCTCAGGTAGTGAAGTCACCTCACTAACACTGAGGATGCTTGCCATAGATGCAGACGAAACGTCAGGAGAGAATGCCTCTAGAACATGGCCATATAGCCCAAAAAAACCTACAACAGCCTCAGTGATTCCGGCCATGAAAGCCTCCGACAATACATTAACACTGAGGTCTTTCTCCCACTGAGGCATCTCGCAGAAGTAGGCCTTTCATATACTGAGGCAAACTACCACTGAGGCCTTCTCATACTGAGGCCTACTAACACACTGAGGCCCTTCTCCCAGAGAGAACTCTCAAGGTCTTAGGGAACTAAGCTACAGGCACACCTATTATTTATTTATTTACTTACTTTACTTTACTTTACTTTACTTTACTTATATACCGCTGTTCTCAGCCCGAAGGCGACTCACAGTGGTTCACAACAAATAAGAACAGCAAAAATTCAATGCTACAGTGTAAAAACAGTTAACAACCTAACATATTACATAATTAATAAACAATTACTACAATAACCATTCACTATTCACTATAGTCTCATCATCAAAAACATGATCCACCTACTTATATTGAACTTCAGCTTTTGCTGAATCATTGCATCCATTTAGCCCTTTTAGTGCTTGACTCATATTTTTGTAATTAAAAATATCTAGCTAATTTTTAATATTTCTGACAAACACTAGGTAGATGTGCTAGATATCATATAAGGTATGCCTGTTATTTAAGGTATTGAAAGCTTGTCCCTTGTCAGATTGGAAAGTGGCGCATAATATAAAGGATGTCTTTTGTTTATGGCTAGAAAAGCTTTCCTCCTATTGAACTAAAAAGTTTCTTTCAGAAGTTTCCTTTTCTATAGACTGTTCAAGATGCCAAAAAATCCTGTATCTTCAGGTGTGAGTCCTTCATAAAGAGAAAAGTGTGTATTTCATGTAATATTGGTATCGGGAAAATATGTTAATTTTGATTAGAAAAGATAGTTGAGTATGAAAACAATATTTTAATTGAGAACATCAGCTTGTTACTTGCTACTTCCTGCTTGTTGGTGCTACATCAACCATCAAGATTATTAAGATCATCTGGAGAGGCCCTGCTCTCGGTCCCACCGGCCTCGCAAGCACGCCTGGTGGGGACGAGGGACAGGGCCTTCTCGGTGGTGGCCCCTCGACTCTGGAACTCTCTCCCACTGGAGATCAGAACGCCCATCCATCCTAACATTAGGAAACGGGTGAAGACGTGGCTGTGGAGTCAGGCCTTCGATGAATGAGACAACACCATAGGACCCTGGATGGAAGTTGATGTAGATCCATCTTAATAGGACGACTGACCACTGTAGTTTTATATATAGTGTTTTTAAAGTTGTTTTTGTAATTGTGATATATGATATTTTAATGAGTGTATATGTTTTTATGGCTGGAAACCGGGCTGAGTCCCTCAATGAGGTTGAGAAGCTCGGTATAGAAAACTGTGAAATAAATAAATAAATAAATACATGTCCTGAATTTTGACTATCCCTTATTGCTGTTTTGGGGGATTCTGGCGGTGTCACCCCATAAAAGGTAACTTTGTCAAGATCTGGCCTAGTTCTTCATACTACTCAACGAGTAAATCTTGTGTGGAAACTCCAAACACATCTCACATCTATGAGCACCCATTTCTGGGTAGATAGGACTTGCCATTACTTCAGCCCTTAGAAACATTTATTTTCTGAACTACAGCTCCTAGCATTCCCAGGCCAGTATATTCCATGAGATTTATTTAAGGCTATATTTACTGGTTTCACCACATCTCAGAACTGAATTGTGTGTTTATTATGTTAAACATGAATGTATAAGTGAGCTTGCTTTGGAATTAGTCTTGGACAGTATCTTACATCTGTTATAATACTTAGCTAAGGGTTGGCTTCTGTGTCCTGACAAAAAAAGGAAATGTTCTGTACTTTGCAAAATATTTTAAAGCCATCCTTTTCAGCTCCCCAAAATCCAGACTATGACTCAAAATAGAGAATATTTGGAGTTTGGAAAATGGTGAGGGTTATTATGCTCTGTGTATCAACCTTTCTCGCTAGTTTTGCAAAGTGTATTTTGGAGATACTCATCCTCTGAAGAAAGAAAGAGCCTTGTAGAACTTCCTCTCCCTCTGCCCTTCTGCTCTATTTTTGGAAAAAGTATTACAGTAATAGCTTGCCTTCTCCCTCCACCAATTGTTGTTTCCTTTTTCCGCTTAGGTGCCCCCAAATCAGCAGAACTGAGAATCTGCCGGGTGAACAAGAATTGTGGAAGTGTGAAAGGTGGAGATGAAATTTTCCTCCTGTGCGACAAAGTTCAGAAAGGTAAAAATGACCACTTCCAGATTTCCTTTTGCGTGGCCTGTGGGACAGGAATGCTACATCTGATGTCACTTACCCACCTGAGGAATCTATGGAAGTCCATTAACGGCCCCATCAGCACCAGTATAAAGCAAGCTGGGATCTGCACCACCCAGTACATGAATTATGGCAAGGTGTCCTTACCTGAATCTCTTGATTAGCATGTGATCTCGACATCACCAATAATAATAATAATAATAATAATAATAATAATAATAATAATAGCCAGCTGCATTAAGGTCGGGGTAAGCTCCCGACTATTAATAGTCTAGCTTGCTGTTGACCTATGCAGCCTGAAAGGCAGTTGCATCTGCTAAATAGGAAATTGAAGTACTGCTTTATGCACAGAGGCTGATTTAACTAATTTACGACACCATAAAACCTTCCAGCAGCGTGCAGAAGTATGAGGAAGTACTCCATCAAAAGCACTTGATGTCACAAGTTGACAGTGAAGTGGCAGCTCCCCCTGTGGCCAGAACCAAGCATACCCTCATTAAGTCGAAAATGCTAGAATGTTAAATCGCCTCTATATCTGTCTATATATATTGTATGTCTAAATGGCATTGAATGTTTCCCATGTGTGTATGTGTATTGTAATCTGTCCTGAGTCTCCTGCGGGGTGAGAAGAGCAGAATATAAATACTGTAAATAATAATATTAATAATGTATTGTCGAAGGCTTTCATGGCCAGAATCACTGGGTTGTTGTAGGTTTTTTCGGGCTATATGGCCATGTTCTAGAGGCATTCTCTCCTGACGTTTCGCCTGCATCTTTGGCAAACATCCTCAGAGGTTGTGAGGTCTGTTGGAACTAGGAAAATGGGTTTATGTATTCTATGAAGTCATAGAATCCAGTCCAACCTGTCATGCAGGAACACACAATCAAAGCACCCCTGACAGATGGCCATTCAACCATCTGTTTAAAAACCTGCAGAGAAGGGGACTTCACTTTTGTTTAGTGAACAGCGCAAAGGAGTAACTGCTTTGGCGTGGAGGTAAAGGGCGCCCATGCAGACATATCAGCAATTTGATCAGGAAGATGTCCACCGATAACAGGCTCTCAACATGGAAAATGGAACAAGAGTACCTTCCCATGGCTGGAGTTGAACATAGTGTCCAGATGCCAGAGATGAAAATGGGGAAGCCTTTTCCTCTGTGTACTGTCTGTCTTTGTTGTTAATTGTACAATGTCATTGAATGTTTACCATATATGTATTCTGCAATCTGCTCTGAGTCCCCCTCAGAGAGATAGAATATAAATAAAGTATATTATTTTTATTGGTGGGGAGGAATGATTTTTCTCAGTGATATCTTTTGTTTTAGCTGTCGTAAAGACTGACTTGCTCATAACCTCCGCAAGTGGTTGTGACATTCTGAGCAGAAAGCAGAACTGTTCCTTGGTTTTTGAGTTTCAGTCAAATAACAGTGTGCTCTTTGCTTTTTATTTTCCCCTGCTGACCTTTGGTTAACACTGACTCTTTGTCTTTTCGGTGAACAGATGATATAGAAGTGAGATTTGTCATGAATGAGTGGGAAGCCAAAGGAGTTTTCTCGCAGGCCGACGTGCATCGCCAAGTGGCCATTGTCTTCAGGACCCCTCCTTTTTACAAAGACATCTCTGAACCCATTACTGTGAAGATGCAATTGCGAAGGCCTTCAGATCAAGAACTCAGCCACCCTATGGACTTTAGATACCTGCCAGAGGAAAAAGGTACTACCACTATCAGAAAAGACTGGAGCTCCCATCAGGCCACAGCTAAGCTAGCTGGTGTTGATGGGAATTGTGGTCCAGTCATGTCTAGAGGGGCACATAATGCCCACCTCTGTACTACATTATGTATTCCTACTGGAAGGGTGAAATCTTAGCTGGAATCTGGCTCTTGTGTGTCTTAATTCCCTTACATGTGTGTTTGTAATTTTATTTTGCTAGCCAATGTACAATGGCTGTTCTACTGTGGGCACATCAACATGACTCACTGGAAAATATGATAATCCTTGGTAAAGTGTAAGATAGCAGGGGGAAAAAGGAAAACCAAACTATTGATTCAAGTCAGGACCTAAGATTGTAAGACCTGGGCAAGGAACGTAATGTCCAAGCTCTTGAAGATCTCTCAGTCACAGTGTTGCCTTAGCTGAAGTTGACTTAATGGCAAACAATCACAGCAAGAAAAACTGGATATATTTGATCATGATTAGATAAGTGGAGTTCCACAAATGTAAACAGTTGTTTGTCGCAACTAGAGTAAAGCCACTGAATCATTTGGATTTATCTATGTATTGGTTCATCATCCAACAATTGGCTCTATCACAGTGGTTCCCAACCTTTTTTTGACCAGAGACCACTTGATCAGGGACCACTTTGACCAACATTAGTACCAAAAGGGTTATTTATGAATCAGTTTTTGGTCAACTTTAGATTTGGTGTGGTTATCTGAGGTGCTGATGCAGAAAATGGTATTGGATATATCACAACAGCTCTAGTTTCTGATATAGAATATATGCCATCCAGTAGTTGTCCTCTGCTCTCCCACAGAAAACCATATTTAACCATCTAGATCTGATGTGGTCTATCCAATGTACTTTTCTCAATCAGCACCCCAAATAACCCCAGGAACAGGCCTAAAAATGAAGATACCAAGGCACCCCCACTTCCAGAAGGAGGAGAAGCAACAGTCAAGAAGCTTGTTGTCGCACCTTTCATGGGTAGTCAGCTTCTCCCCTCTCGACATCCCTGTTGCCTTGGCACTATAAGAGGGTTTTGTGAGATCAGTCGCCCTCATTGCAACGGTGTAGTAATGGTGAGGCCGCGGACTATATTTTAGTTCTTGGGGACCACTGATGCTCCACAGACCACAGGTTGGGAACCAGTGCTCTATCAAGTTGAGATTAACTGCCAGGATGCAGTTATGAAGTTGAGTTTTCTGGGACGGTGCATTTTAGGAACATCAGTGCTTCCAGTATTTGTTGTTATGTGTCTTCAAGTCATTTCCAATTTATGGTGCCCCAAGGCAACCCTGTCATGGAGATTTCTCACCATGGCTGTACAAACCACTGTACCACATTGACTTTCCACCTTCAGTGTCCTACTTGATTAATTGGGATTGCAGAAACAATATGTATGGGGAAGTCATAGGGCGGAGGTAGCAAGCTTGTTTTCTGCTGCCCTGGAGACTAGGATGCTGAACAATGACTTCAAACTACAAGAAAGGAGATTCCATCTGAATATTAGGAAGAACTTTCTGACTGTGAGAGCTGTTCTGCAGTGGAACTCTCTGCCCCAAAGTGTGGTGGAGGCTCTTTCTATGGAGGCTTTTAAACAGAGGCCATCTGTTGTGGGTGCTTTGAACGATTGTCCTGCTTCTTGGCAGAATGGGGTTGGACTGGATGGCCCATGAGGTCTCTTCCAACTGTGCATTCCCCATTCACAACAGAATAACAATTAGGTATGTTGGCAGATGGGGTTGCATAGTGCCTATATCTAGCAGAAGGATAGTGTAATGGAACTACCATGCAACTATTCTGGTGTAGATTTACATCATGCATGTGTAATGTAAGATTTTGGTGATTACTTCTGTGAACGGAGAGTACATTTCGTTGGCTACATATTGGGAAGTCTGATCTGGCCACAGTGGTCCACGCTCTTGTTACATCCCGAATAGACTACTGCAACGCACTCTACGTGGGGTTGCCCTTGAAGACTGTTCGGAAACTTCAACTGGTCCAGCGAGCGGCAGCCAGGATACTCAGCGGAGCGTCATACAGGGAGCACACCACCCCCCTGCTGTGTCAGCTCCACTGGCTGCCGATTCAGTTCCGAGCACAATTCAAGGTGCTGGTTTTGACCTACAAAACCCTGTACGGTTCCGGTCCAGTGTATCTGTCCGAAGGTATCTCCCTTTACGTCCCACCCCGGAGTGTGAGATCATCTGGGGAGGCCTTGCTCTCGACCCCACCGCTATCACAAGTGAGGTTGGTGGGGACGAGGAGCAGGGCCTTCCCGGTGGTGGCCCCTCACCTGTGGAACTCACTCCCAGGAGAAATTGGGACATCAATATCCCTCCTCTCCTTCAGGAGGAAAGTAAAGACGTGGTTGTGGGACCAAGCCTTTGGGCAATCTGACAACTAGATAAGGACAATTAAACGACTAGGACTGACAGGACTGACAATGTGGAATTGGAATTTGGACTATGAGATAGCAAACACTGACCGTCTATAAGGAGTAATTAGGTTTGTATCGTTTTATTGGTTTTATTGGTTTTAGGGCTGTAATGCAGGAATTATTGTTTAACTGTTTCAACTGTTTAATTGATGTTATTTTGTTTTACTACTGTTATGCGATGTTGGCATCGAATTGTGCCTTTGTAAGCCACCCTGAGTCCCCTTCGGGGTGAGAAGGGTGGGGTAGAAGCAACCGAAATAAATAAATAAATAAATAAATAAATAAATAAATATTGTCTGGCAGTCTGGAGGAGCTAGAGTCCAAAAAAAGGAACTTTCCCAAACTCCAGATTTGCATTTGTCTGTTCTCAATCTCCTAACGCTCAATATATCTCGGCCTGCATTTGCTTGAGAGATTCTGAAAGCTGTCATTGGGGAAAAAAAGGTAACATTCCCAGGTTCTGCTCAGGTCCCTTTGCTGGTGAGAGATTTGCTATCACTGTTCCGTCAAAGCTCAGCCTGGTTAACACAGGAACGAAATAGGTCACTTGGTTTACAAGAACCTCAACTTGGAATCCCTTCCTCATTCGCACCCACAAAGTTCTTGCAGTCAGGAAGATGTCTTTAACCTTTGCTTTAGTCTTATTTAACCTTGGGGTTTTGTTTTTGTTTTTTGCTAGACAACTTCCTCATCCATGGCTATAAGCATTGACTCTCTTCTAAAGCAGAAGATGTGCCCAGAGATTCATATGACTGGATTTGCAACATTTCTTTTAATTTGGAAACCCCCTAGTTCTTATGCCCAGCCCAGACTTTGCTGCCTGAGGCGGAGCAGAAAGCGGCGCCACCCAAACCTTGCCAAGTTATTTTGGCAAATGAGGAAAAAAAACCCACAGGCATTTCTCCTTGACTCTGATAGTAGCACTGCATTAAGAAGAAATTAAATAATCAGCACTTTGCTGCCTCTATTCTGCTACGTGACATGCTTGCCACACCCTGCTCTGAGTTTGGAAAAGTTGTATTTGGGGGGCTACAAATTCCCCTAAACCACCAATAAAGCATGGCCTCTGGATACATTATCTTGCTGTATAAGATATCATGCTATATTCCTATGTATAATTAAACCAAGCTAAAAAATTAGTGTAGAATTGTGTCTCTCTGTGTGTTGATAGTTCTGTTGCTAACTGTAATGCCCTTTTCCTTCTCTTTTTAAAGATCCTTACGGCCACAAGACAAAAAAACAGAGGATGCCAATGAGTTTACAAAAGCTCATCCAAGACTGTGGTAAGGGCACACTTGCTTTGTTCTCATGCAATGTTTTCTTGGGTTGTTGTAGGTTTTTTCGGGCTATCTGGCCATGTTCTAGAGGCCTTCTCTCCTGACGTTTTGCCTGCATCTATGGCAAGCATCAGGAGAGAATGCCTCTAGAACATGGCCAGATAGCCCGAAAAAACCTACAACAACCCAGTGATTCCGGCCATGAAAGCCTTCGACAGTACAATGTTTTCTTGTTTTCTGCTGCCCTGGAAACTAGGACATGGAACAATGGCTTCAAATGATAGGAAAGGAGATTCCACTGAACATTAGGAAGAACTTCCTGACTGTGAGAGCTGTTCAGCAGTGGAACTCTCTGCCTCAGAGTGTGGTGGAGACTCTTTCTTTGGAGGCTTTTAAACAGAGGCTGGATGGCCATCTGTCAGGGGTGATTTGAATGCAATTTTCCTGCTTCTTGGCAGGAGGTTGGACTTGATGGCCCATGATGTCTCTTCCAACTCTATCATTCTTTGATCCTATGATCCAATGTCTTTTCCTTTCCTGCCTTCACAGAACATCTCTTGTTTAGAATTCAATTGTTTTGCTCCTAGTTTTTTAATGTTTTGCACAAGTCATTGTTATATACATTTAATATGGGTTGTTGTAAGTTTTTTCGGGCTATATGGCCATGGTCTAGAGGCATTCTCTCCTGATGTTTCACCTGCATCTATGGCAAGCATCCTCAGATGCAGGCGAAACGTCAGGAGAGAATGCCTCTAGACCATGACCATATAGCCCGAAAAAACCTACAACAACCCAGTGATTCCGGCCATGAAAGCCTTCGATAATACATTTAATATGCTTAATGCCAATTCATAATTAACCTGGCCTCAAAGAGAGGGAAGAGCAAACAAAGCTCCATCTTGCCTATGTCCAGAAGTAGATAGAAGGCCTTCATCCACCCCAACTGCCACTGGCCTGGCCTCAGAGGGAGAGAAGAAGAGCAAACACAGCTCCATCTTGTCTAGGTCCAGAACTAGAAGGCCCTCATCCACCCCAACTGCCACTGACCTGGCCTCAAAGAGAGGGAAGAGCAAACAAAGCTCCATCTTGCCTATGTCCAGAAGTAGATAGAAGGCCTTCATCCACCCCAACTGCCACTGGCCTGGCCTCAGAGGGAGAAAAGGAGAGCAAACACAGCTCCAACATGCCTCGGTCCAGATGTAGATAAAAGGCCCCCATCCACCCCATCTGCTAGTGGCCTGGCCTGGAGAGAAAGAAGATGAGACAGTACCTGCTGAACATAATCGCCTCCCATACTGCCACCCCCTTTTCCTTTTGCTCTCGGAAAAGAGATCACTTAATTAACAATTTGTTTTAGTGTGCCTAAGCTAACAATTTGTTTTCTTCTGCTAGGTCCCTATGAGAAGTCTAAAGCTGGTTCCTTGTTCCAGACACCTTCCAGTGAAGGAAAGATTATTAAGAAAGGTAGAATCTCCCTGCCTGTTTTATTCTTTCCAAATTTCATCCTCATTCCTACCACATTTCTATCTTCATCTCTCTTCTGGGCACAGTGTTGAAGAATAATTGTAATAATGGCTAAATGTTTCCTTGACTTTTCTGAGTGCTGTTAATTTTCTTTTACAGAAGGGAATCTGTATCACCCTCAAACTGGATCAGTCCCAATGGAGAGATCCATGAACACTCTTCCAGCACAGCCATATTATTCTCCTTCAATAAACAACCACTGTCTCAATGGGCACCCCGTCCCAATGGGCCCCATCAAGCAGAACGGAGCTCTGCCATCATGTTGGCGTTCCTCTGCTCCCTCCTTTGATGGCTACCTGCCTGAAGGCAACTTCTCAGGAGATATGTTGGCTCCTGGTTTACAGAATGGTGGCTCTCCATCACTACAACAGGAGCAGAGCCTGAATTGGGTGAACCAGAAGGACAAGAACTTCTACAGAACATTCATCAACACAAGGAATGGCCCGGGGGCATCGTTATCATCCCTGCCATCATCTTCACCACCATCCACAACTCAACAAGACCTACTCAATGTCTCCAATACAGTTGCCAACCGCCCGTCTCACCCCGTCAACGTCACTGTGGCCAATGGCCTCAGCATGGAGATGGATGATGCCAGATGTTCAAGTGTAACCTTGGAAAAGGCCTCCTTTGCCCAGGTTTTAAATGCAAATTGTCATGGGCAGCAAGTGCAACCCATACCACATCATGGTACGTCAGCAGAAGCGGTTTGCAACTCATCTTTGAATTCCATGTCCAATGCATACCAGTCGCTGCCCTTCTCTTATCTGGAGAGCCTCAGTGAAGTGAGACCACCCAGCCAACCCGCTTTACAGAACTCAGGCAATATGTCCAACAATCAGTACTTTAGTACGTATTGCACCCAAGACGCAGAGCTCCTTAATGCCTTTGAGGGCAGTTTTGATGCCATGCTTTAAATTGTATCAAACTTTCAGGTTGAGCTAAACAAAAATGGCCATGAGGTATATCATGGTTTCTATCAGTAGAAAAACCAGTTTTTCATATGACTGAAATGGGAGAGGTCGTGTTTCTTTTCAGGTTACCTGTATATATCATGTTTAAACAATAATGTGGCTATTTTAGGATTGTGGATTCAAGGATGATCAGATAGCTTGAGATAGTTTTTGTGCATTTTTTGCTTTCTAAAAAGCATCCCCATGTTTGTATTCATGTGCTGCTGGGAAAACGTCGGTGGAGAAGGTTTACTTGGTTTTTTAAATAACATTTTAAATGGTGTCCCGCTAACTCTTACTGGATTGAAAACTATATTCAGAATTTGTTTTGTGTGTTGATAAAAGCCAGATGGATTCAGAAGTTGATACATTCCATACATCCCAACTTCTGATTCCCCATTTTTGTATATATATTTTTAATTACCAAAATCTCATTCACAATTATAGTACACAATTGCAGTATATATCCCTCTCATTATAAGACGATAAATTTGCACATATTTATTAGATTATAGTATTTCAGCTGCATATACACTCTTTGTCAAATAAGCTTTAACGCTATACATTTTCAGCAGATGAAGATGGACTTAGATCATATTTGTTTCAGCTATACATTGGGACAGTAGGATCAATAGACCAAATGGCCAGAGTTTTGGGTAGCCCCTAAATCTAGTTCTGGTGCTGTTTTTGATGGAACAGATGCCATTTTTTGTCTGTCTGAATACAATAGAGTCTCACTTATCCAAACTTCGCTTATCCGACACTCTGTATTATCTGATGTGCCTTGGATGCTTCTGGCTTGGAAGAATAAAAACAAGGCTCTTCCTCTTCCTCAGAGAATTGCAACAAGGCTCCCCTTCCTTCCTTCCTTCCTTCCTTCCTTCCTTCCTTCCTTCCTTCCTTCCTTCCTTCCTTCCTTCCTCCCTTCCTTCCTCCCTTCCTCCCTCCCTCCCTCCCTCCCTCCCTCCCTCCCTCTCTCCCTTTCTCCCTTTCTCCCTTTCTCCCTCCCTCTCTTCCTCTCTTCCTCTTTTCCTTCCTCCCTCTCTTCCTCTCTTCCTCTCTTCCTTCTCTGGCTCCTGCTCCAGACTCCACTCCTTCCTTGCTATCTCTCTCCTCCTTGGGGCCTCGCATTCAGCCCAGGCGAGGCTTCGGAGAAGTGGCCTCTGAGCGGATAAAGGGGGAGCTCCACCAAGGTTGCCCACTGCCCTGGCTGACCACCAGCCCTGCTCTCTGGCGCTCTCTCCATCTCTCTCTCTCTCTCGCCAGCAATGGAAATGTTTGCTTTATGGAAGAGGGAGGGAAAGAAAGAAAGTCCCTGCTCTTTGGCGCTCTTGACCTCGGTACCCATCCTTGTCTTGCCCCTCTCCCTGCAGCCCCAGCCCTCCCTCCTTCTCTGTCCCCTGCTCTCTCTTGAGCCAGCAGTGGAAATGTTTGCTTTATGGAAGAGGAAGGGAAAGAAAGAAAGACAGGTAGCAGGCACTGAAGGTGGGAGGCAATGCCTACCTTTGCTCGGGTTTAATAGGATGTTCCTTAATCCCTCCGTATTATCTGAGATTTTTGCTTATCCAACATTCTGGTGGCCCGTTTATGTCGGATAAGCGAGTCTCTAAGGTAAAGGTAAAGGTTTTCCCCTGACATCAACTCCAGTCATGTCCTACTCTGGGGGTTGGTGCTCATCTCCATTTCTAAGCCGAAGAGCAGAGCCTGAATTGGGTGAATCAGAAAGACAAGAACTTCTTCAGAACATTCAGCAACACAAGAAAAGGCCTGAGGGCATCATTATCATCCCTGCCATCATCTTCACCGTCATCAACAACTCAACAAGATCTACTCAATGTCTCCAACACAGTTGCCAACCACCCTTCTCACTCCGTCAACATCACTATGGCCAATGGCCTCAGCATGGAGATGGATGATGCCAGATGTTGAAGTGTAACCTTGGAGAAGGCCTCCTTTGTCCAGGTTTTAAATGCAAGTGGTCATGGGCAGCAAGTACAACCCACCTGGAGAACCTCAGTGAAGTACTCCACTACCATGGAAGTCCACTAACCATGAATGGTCAGTGGTCAATCAAAGCTTGAAAACCTTTTTGGGAATAACAATTTTCCTAAATCTTCAGCCATCATGGCCACTGACCATTCATGGTTAGTGGACTTCCATGATAGTGGAGCATGGAATCCATTCTGGTGCTTCTTGGCAGGGGGTTTTGCCCATGAGGTCTCTTCCAACTCTTCCAACTATTCCAATTATCAAAGGAACTGAGCTTCTTTGGAGGCTGGGACATCACTACTATCCCACCAACAAGGAAGTCACAAACCTTGACTATCATTAGTCGTGCTAACTGAAAGATTCTCAGGATTGCAGTCTAAAGAAAAGGTATTGTTTCCTAGCTTTGTTTCAGGAGTACAGATATACATTAGAAGACTCAATGACAATCAGAAAAGCGCAGCATCTGTCATCCTGGTAAATCTTTGCAGAACCATAGATGCCCAAAGGAAAATATGGCAACCACATTGCAGACAGAACTGAACCAAGGATATTCTTATTGGAGAACATGGAAATACTGGATATTCATTCCAAAGTACATTTGCCTATACCAGTTTGTCTAGAAGAAGCCTCATCATAGAGGACCCTTCCTTGCTGGAGTTGCTCATCCCTTGTTTTGGTCCCGACCTGTAGACATTTGACAGCTATGCCTTCGTCTTGCCCTTCTTTGATTATGAATGCAAGATTGCTTTGGTTGTTATTGCAAAGTGAAGACTTTTAAGAAGGAATTATTTGAGTTGTAGTATTGAGTTGACTTCTTTCACACACCACAAACTAAAATGGAAGCCACTTGTGGAAATGTGGAAGTCTGGGCTGAATATAGACAAAGAGAATAGGAAGCCATCCTCTTTTGGCACCTGTTTCAAGCATGACTGTGGAGGCGATCTGTTTGACTCAGCTTCATTTCACTATATGAATGACTTCTTCATCTTACACCACTTTGGTAAAAAATACTCAATGGAGTTCCTCCATTTGTGATCCAGACGTGACCAACCTTATGGAATAGAGGAACCAAATGTGCAGGTTGTATCACTGTGTTATATCACTGAAAAACATGGTTCCCTTATTTGTAGCATGGATCAGATGTAACCTAAAATCTACATGGAGGCAACATGGGGCACATTTACACTTAAATCAGTTTCAAACAGAGATTGTAGAAAGTGGTTTCCCTATGTAGATGATTACATAGAAAATCCTGCAACAGTTTAAGGCTCATATGGTGATTACGCAGAGCACTGATGTGTGCTAAGGGCTTTCTTTTGTGCACTTTTGTATGAGTTCGTTGCCAAGATGCTACAGTTTGTAACAAGCATTGAACTGCATTAGATGGTCAGTGTAGATGTGGCTATAGTCAAGTTTTGGGAGAGTTGCTTTTGTTACAAGAAGGTAAATTAACATGGCCTGAAAACTCTTGCTTGCTAGACTTCTCTGTGACAATATACTTTCTGTTTCATCCATAGATCCCTATGGATAGTATTATAAGGGGGCTGTTTTATTGGTTTCAGTGATATGTATACATTTAATTGTTGTGCGTTTTCCGGGCTGTATGACCATGTTCCAGAAGCATTCTCTCCTGACGTTTTGCCTGTATCTATGCAGGCATTCTCAGAGGTTCATCCAGCAGTCACCAGCCAATCCATCTGCAATGCCAGAAATACAGCTTAATGGTTTAACATTAGAAAATGTTGACCATTTCTGCTCCCTTCGAAGCCACCTCTCCACAAAAGTAAACATTGACACTGAAATACAACACCGCCTGAGCTCTGCGAGTGCAGCATTTTTCTGAATGAAGCAGAGAGTGTTTGAGGACCGGGACATCCATAGGAATACCAAGGTGCTTGTTTATAAATCTATTGTCCTCCCAACCCTGCTATACGCCTGCGAAACGTGGACGGTCTACAGACATCACATGCAACTCCTGGAATGATTCCATCAGCTTGCCTCCAAAAGTTCCTGCAAATCTCTTGGAAAGACAGGCAGGCAAACGTCAGCATGCTGGAAGAAGCAAAGACCACCAGCACTGAAACAATGGTCCTCCACCATCAACTTCACTAGACCAGCCATGTAGTCCGAATACCCGATCACCATCTCCCAAAGCAGCTACTCTACTCAAGAACGGCAAATGAAATGTTGGTGGACAGGAAAAGAGATTCAAAGATGGGCTCAAAGCCAACCTTAAAAACTGTGTCATAGACACCGGGAACTGGGAAGCCCTGGCCCTTGAGTGCTCCAGCTGGAGGTCAGCTGTGACCTGCAGTGCTGTAGAATTTGAAGAAGCACGAATGGAGGGCAAAAGAGAAACATGCCAAGAAAAAGCCACATCAAGCCAACATCAACCGGGACGACCTTCCACCTGGAAACCAATGCCCTCGCTGCAGGAGAACATGCAGATCACGAAAAGGGCTCCAGAGCCACCTTTGTATCCACCGCCAAGACACATCACTTGGAGGACCATCATCCTCAACCTACGAGGGATTGCCTAAGTTAGTAAGTAAGAGGTTGTGAGAGCAGAGAATGCTTCTGGAACATGGCCTTACAGCCCAAAAAACTTACAACAACCCAATGATTCCAGCCATGAAAGCTTTCAACAATACAGTGTATACATTTACTTGGACATAAGTCCAACATAGAAGATCTTTCTTGCAAATTCTCACACATTGACTTTTCCTACTAGTTAAATGCTTAGCTAAACTGGTCAATTTAAAATAACCTCCTCAATCCACGGATGCCTTGGTAACTTTATCATGTTTTGTGAACTGTCTCTGATTTATGATATTTACATGCATTTATCCAATATTATTTAAACATGTTAGACCTTCTCCACCTTCATAAGAATGAATGTTATTTTTGCAATTATGTGTTGTCTTGTGTGTTGTTTTGTTTGCATTTAGCAAATCTGTGTTACGATAATAGTAATGACTGTGTCATTGTGAATTTTGGGGTTTTTTTATTTTAAAAAACACACAAGACAAGCTTTGAAAAATGTTGAAATAACTTTTTTAACATTGAAATTTCCATTCTCACATTGAGGAGAAACTTCTTTACTGCAAAGACAAATATGTCCTCCAACCCAAATATGGGGATCTGGGTGTTTTTCTATTTGTATTATTACTATTAGTCTTTTTCTTTAAAAAAAATAGTATTGTCAGTATTCATAAATTTGCTGATGTGGAATCCCTTTCTTGTCCTGTGAAAAAGTTTTATTCTCCACGCTTTTGAAATAGATTATGAGTTTGATGAATGTTGGTACCTCTCTCAAAAAGTATAATATATTATGTGTAGTTCTTAGTGGTGTTTCTATGGAAGAGACCATGCCAACATGGGTTATATGTACCATATGGAAAGACGTACTTGTGTCATTTGGGTGTTGTAGTTGCTGGGATTTATAATTCACCTACAATCAAAGAGAATTCTGAATTCCACCAACAATGGAATTGAACCGAACTTGGCACACAGAATTCCCATGACCAACAGAAAATACTGAAATGGTTTGGTGGGCATTGACCTTGAGTTCTGGAGTTGTAGTTCACCTATGTCCAGAGAGCACTGTGGACTCAAGCAATGATGGATCTGGAACAAACTTGGCATGAATGCTCAATATGCCCAAATGTGAACACTGGTGGAGTTTGGGGGAAATAGACCTTGACATTTGGAAGTTGTAGTTGCTG